GGTGAGTGGATGAGAGGGTGAGTATGTGATTGGGTGAGAGTGTGAGTAGGGGACTCAGTAGGTGAGTTGATGATTCGCTGAGTAGGTGGTAATTAATAAGTTAATATGTGCGTGAATAATTGGGTGAGTGAGTAGGTGAGTGAGTGGGTGAGTATGTGAGTAACTAAGTGTTGATTATATGAGTGAGTGGGTCAGTGAATAGGTGAGTGGTTAAATAGGTGAGAAGGTGAGTGAGTGGATGAATGGATGAGTGGATGAGTCGGTTAGTGAGTGGGTGAGGGAGTGGGTGAGTAGGTGAGTGAGTGGGTGAGTAGGTAAGTGAGTGTTGATTAGATGAGTGAGTGAGTGGGTGATTAAGTGAGTAATTGGATAAGTAGGTGAGTGGGTAAGTAGTTGAGTGGGTGAGTATGTGAGTGGGTGAGTAGATGAGTGGGTGAGTAGGTGAGTTGATGAAAGGGTGAGTATGGGAGTGGGTGAGTAGGTGACTGAGTAGGTGAGTGGTTGAGTAGCTGATTGAGTGGGTGAGTATTTAAGTGAGTCGTTGAATAAGATAATAGGTGCGTGGGTGATTGGGTGAGTGGGTGAGTAGGTGAGTAAGTGGGTGAATGAGTGGGTGAGTATGTGAGTGGGTGAGTGCATGAATAGGTGAGCGGTGAGTAGGTGAGTGTGTGAGTAGGTAAATGGGTGAGTGGGTTATTTGAGTGTGTGGATGGGTGAGTGGGTGAGTGATGGGGTGAGTAGGTGAGTGAGTAGATGAGTGGATGTGGGGTGAGTGAGTGGGTGAGGGAGTGGGTGAGTAGGTGAGTGGGTGAGTGGGTGAGTAGCTGAGTGAGTTGATAAGTAGGTGAGCGGGTGAGTAGTTGGGGGGGTGAGTATGTGAGTGGGTGAGTAGGTGACTGAGTATTTGAGTGGTTGAGTAGCTGAGTGAGTGGGTGAGTGGGTTAGTAGGTGAGTAGGTGAGTGAGTGGATGAATGAGTGGTTGAGTATGTGAGTGGGTGAGTGGATGAGTAGGTGATTGCGTGAGTAGATGAATAGGTGAGTGGGTTATTTGAGTGTGTGGATGGGTGAGTAGACGAGTGGATGAGTGGGTGAGTGAATTAGTGAGTAGGTGAGTTAGAGGGTAAGTAGGTAAGTAGGTGAGTGGGTTAGTATGTGAGTGAGTTGGTATGTGTTCGCTTATTTAAAAAGAGCCACACGGCTCATTGTGCCCTTACACCAACTAAAATAACATCACAAATTATTTTAGCTTTGGTTTAATAGTAATAAAAAAATATAATTCGATCTTGACTTAAAGCTTTCGTGACTGCAGTAATCCATATTTGCAGAATATGGGTACACACTGAGCAATCATTAGAATGACGTTATCCACCAGTTTAAGTCATAATTGGCTATGCTGTTCCCATGCTACCACCTTCCGATGTTAGTTGTGATTTACTCCCATTTCAAACTTGCGCTTTCACAGGATTCACACTCACACAGCCACTTCGCGTGCCGACCCCTTGGTTGCGGCTCTGCGATCTTCCATTAACTTGCTAATCTCTTTGAACCTACCTGCGTGTGTGACTTTACCGAAAGACCCAAGAATAGAAAACATAAATCAGTTTAGTTGTTTCGTTTGTTGCTGCCACGGTATTTGCGCTTAATGCCCCAATGTTCCTCACTGATTTCACAATCAAAGATCGATGTCGACATTGCATCTCGCTTCGTGCGGGATTGGGTAACAGGTGGGGTGTGGGAGCGTGGGAGTGATGGAGAGATGGAGGGCGACTTTTTTGGTGTTGCTACAGGGTGGACAAACACGTTCCGTTTGATTCCTCTGGGCAATACGCTGATGAACAGAGAATGCCGTTAACGCTGATGAACAGGGAATGGCGTTAACGCAGACTTATTCAACGACTCACTCACCTACTCACCCACTCACCCACTGACTCAGCTACTTACCAGCGCAACTATTCAGAAGTGACCTGGATATCACAAATGAGAGCTCAACGAAGTGGCTTATCGCGTGGAAATTTGTAGCAGCCAAATAATCTAAACGCATGTTTATAGATGTGGAGGGAAAAACTAGAGGACCCAGAAAACAATCCACGTGACCACGATGAGAGAGACAGGCAAACTCCAAACATACAGCAGGCGTCAGGATCGGCGTCAAACCCACGACCTCCTGAATACCAGGCGAGGTAGTTAACACCTCCTAGCGACTGTGGGGTCAGGGTAGGGATCGAACCCATGAACCTCCTGCATACCACGCGAGGTCGTTAACATCTAGCAACCGTGGCTTCATGGTCGGAATCGAACCCACGACCTCCTGTATACCAGGCGAGGTAGTTAATATCTCACCAACCGTAACATGACAACAATTTAACGCAACTTGTTGTCAGGTCTGGGAATTATTATCAAGAGCATCATCGTCATCATCACCATCATCACCATCATCAAGGAGATTATTTGACCATACTTAATATTGATATTGAGGCTTTCTAGAGTGAACGAGTGAATACAATGAGAGTCGTTACACCTCCACTCGGTCTGTCCCCCCCTCCCACCACGCTCTCCATCACTGCCCCCCCCTACACTCTGCACGTCCTGAGCGCTCGCTATGACACCGCTTCTTCTTTAATCTTATTCTTCCAGCTATGGAACCATTTTTCGGACAACGCGGAAACCCACACACCATTATAACGTGAAACACACACGCGGTTAAACGAGGATTTGCTGGACTTGCGGTGACATCGAGGACTAGTTTGGAGAGCCGAATGGAGTTCAAAAGACGTTACAAACAAACGGCAGCTTGTTTTGAGAGATCCCAACGCAGAATATTCCACACCGGGATTTGGTCTTCCACGAAGCTCCTCATGGTCCACCTTGAACCGCATCATCCACTCCACAAATCATGGCAGCAGTAGGTGCGGGATACCTGATAAGACTGTGTAAAAAGAAAATTGTCCCTGGGTAGTAAGTGTTATTTTGTAATTGCTTATGCCTCAAAAGTACATAAAATGGCTATTACTACTCACAAACTTTGCTTTTGTGACCAGGACAGTGATATTTTGGAATGCACCTATTTTAAATGAGAAAAACGTGTGCATTTTTTGTCATTCCTTCACGTAAAGTACTGGTCACAAAAGCAAATTTTGTGGGGAATAATAGCCATTTTCTATACTTTTTAAGCATAACCGATTAAAAATGAACACTTAGTACCCAGGGACAAAAAAAAACCTGTTACATAGTGTAATGCACAAATGGGGTGGTATCATGACTGTGGTCATCCAGACGTACACAACGTGTAAAGACGCAACGCCGCAATCCACAAATACGAAGGAGACATCACAGCGATAATGATTCACTTCCACTAATACTCCTGACGCAGCAGTCGTCTGCGCTTGACGACCTGAATGTGAAATTGCAGTCATGTGCTCTGCATCTATATTAGCAGCCGTAATGACAAGAAAAATAATAATAATAACTTGAGCTGTCTCTTCACTATCGAGGCCTAAGGCCATCTTTGTGTAACCCAAACCTGAGCATGTGGCTAGTCTAGGCTAACACACTCCCCCTGTCACCTTGTGCTCAATGGTGGACAAAGTCCCAGGCAACAAAAAGCCTAAGACCTCGTCCCCGCTGGCCTCCCTGGTCAAGGTGAGACTAGAGACCCTTGCAGGTAGGGACAAGGAACCTGCTTCGGACTGTTCTGAAAAATATTGAGCAGCTATCTCGACGACATGGAGGCAAACAACAGCCCTGCTTCGGCGTCTCATTGAAAAAAGGGCTGATGGGGGAGTCAGCAGGAGACGGAAGGGCTACACGGGGAGGAAGCATTTGGGGCAACGTCTTCAACGCTGCAACAGTGGAGCGAGCAAGGCGACCCAGTCAAGACACACGGAGGCAAACCACAGGACCTGGAGAAGCTTATAACAAGCCAAGCGCCAAGGGGGCGGAGATGTCAACTGAAGGCCCACGGCCTACCGGATGGTGCTCAGGGCAATGCTCACCAAGGGGACCCTCCCGCGGCTAGGAGAAGTTAACTACCTTACTTAGTATGCAGGCGGACGTGGGTTCAATTCCCGACCTTAACGCCGCGGTGGCTAGGAGATGTTAACTACCTCACCTTGTCATGGATTCGATCCCAACCCTGATGCCTACTGTACGATTTGGAGTTAACGTGTCACTCTCCCCGTGGCCACGTGGATTTTTCTCTGGGTCCTCTGTTTCCCCCCCCCCTCCACATTTAGAATCAACATCTCTATGCGTTTAGTGTATTTGGATGCTATAGATTCCCACGTGATGATGATAAGCCACTTCGTTGAACTCTCAATTGTGATCGCCAGGTCGCTTTGGAAAAAAAATTAGCTAATTAGCTCAGTGGGTCTTACCAGGTAAAATAAAAAAAATACTTTAGTTTTTTTTTTAGTTCTATATAAAAACCGACGGTCCTGCTCGTTGTCCCCATGCCGTGTGTGGGGCAGTGAGCCCAATCTCCTCCCAAATATTTTGCACCCCAGTTGCGGGTCTGTGCCTCGTGCCGGCCTCTTGCTTTTGTTTTGCTTCATTCGCTCGGTGAGGACACCACAGCGAGACCACTCCCCACTCTCCCCCCCCCCGCCCTTCTTTAAACTCAAGGGCACAGTGTTCGGGACTAAGGTCCGCAGACTTTCTGTACCCCACACTCCTTATGTCGCAGTCTGTGCACTGTACCCCATACCCATACCGTTTATCCGTATTTTTGTACAGGGGAATTGAGTTTTCAGGTCCATACGGCGTATAGCCGTTTCAATAGGGGCAAAACATTTGATATTTATGTGTGTTTCCCCCTTGTAATGAGACTTTGTAGGATGAACGTTGAGATTTATAAGGTACACGGGATGATCAAAAAGGTCTGAATTGGTCTGTAATAGCCACGCCCTATCGATGACTGACCCCGCCTTCTCACAATAGAGCCCCGCCCCCTATCCATATAGCCCCTCCTCCTCCTCTCTGTGTCGCTCAACGAGCCCCTCCGTGGTTCACTGCAGGGGCTCAGTAAGAAAGCCGATGGGGGACCGTGCGGGGATCGTGGTGGCTGCCTGGCTGCAGCTGCTGCTCGCTCTACCGATGCTCACACCGGCGCAGCAAGGTAGGCAGGCACGCGGGTAGCTACACACACAGCCACTCACCCACCCACATAGCCACTCACCCACCCACATAGCCACTCACCCACCCACTCACCCACTAATCTATCCATCCACTCACTCATCCATCCACCCACTTATCCATCCACCCACTCACCCAATCACCCACTCAGCCACTCAACCACCCATTCACTCACTCAATCCACTCATGCACCCACTCACCCACTTCGCCATCCAATCATTTACTCGCCTACCCGCTCAACCAGTCCACTCGCTCAACCAATCACCCACTTAGCCACTCACCCATTCACTCAGCCGCCCACCCACTCAATAAATCCACCCAATAACGCTCACTCTCTGATCCAGTCAGCCACCCACCCACTCATCACCTACTGTTTAGCATTGTGTATGTTTATGGGCACCGTATTAAAGCCTGCTGTGGTTATGTTGTTGTTATACAGCGGTGTATAATGTGGTTAAGTTCGTGGTTACAATGCAGTTGTGGCTGTGGCAGTGATTATATTGGCGGCTGTTGTGGTTACGTGTCGTATTGCTTGTGGTTTTAATGTGTTTGTAGTTGTAATATTTTGGTTGTAGTGGTTATAATGTGGTTGTAGTTTTAGTTATGACGTGGTTGTAGTTTTGGCTATAATTTGGTTGAAGTTGTGGTTATATTTTGGTTGTAGTTGTGGTTATGTGGTTGTAGTTTTGATTATAATGTGGTTGTAGTTTTGATTATAATGTGGTTGTAGTTTTGGCAATAATGTGGTTGTATCTTCTTTGGTTCTTTCGGTAAAGTCACGTAGAATGAGAATAAAATAATAAATTGATAAAATAAAATAACACAATAATATTCTCACGACGTTTCGGCCACAACACAAGCGGCCTTCATCAGGTGAAGGGAGCGAGACTGTCTGGTAGGACAGCGCTGGAGTGAGAGAGCCACGTTCAGATCACGGCTTTTAAGCTGTGTGAGAGGAACAAAGAGCCTTGACGAAGGAATTAGCATAAAATTTAGCATTGAAAAGGCTGAATGATTAGCTTGTGACTGGTCACAGAAATAGCTATGTTAAAAGTTAAAGCATACACATCCGCAGAGGCACCCATTGTTAAAAGGAATTAGCATAGAATTTAGCATTGAAATAGCTAAATTAAGGCATTCGCTTGTAACTGCTACAGAAATAGTTACGTTGAAGTCAGAGCATACACATTCACCGAGGCACTTAGTACAAATCAAAACAGGAGAATTTAGCATTGAAATAACTAGGCGAATTTAGCATTGAAATAACTGGGTGATTTGCTAGTGACTGGTCACAGAAATGACTACAAATCTGAGCTATTCACAGTACTATATAGTGAACCAATAAAAACTAAATATAAATTACCTTCATGTTATCAATAAACTCTATATTCTCCAATCAGCTAAGCTACCAACCATAAGTCGTTATATATCACAATGCTATATGGCGAAAAAATGGGTGGATTCTTACCCTCAAATTTCCGTACCACGGATAGCTACGGGCCCCGTTCAGACGGACGAGTTCGTCCATGGTCGGAACAGAGGAGGGGGAGAGAGACAGCTGCGAAGCCCTAGTATACTCCATGTTGTAAACCATACCATTAACCGTGGTGTGAGAGGTATTAAGAGGCAATGCTGGCGAAAGAGCTGCGGTCTGAAGGTCATCGTAAAATTACAATTAATTAAGAACAGAAATGATTTAACACATCTTTCCAGTGGTTACTGAGCCTGAATCCATCTTCTCGGTTGAAATTGTCTCTGTGCTTGTATATGTGAATGGCCTCATGAACGAATCTCTCATGGTAGCCAGTTGGTTTGCAAAGAACCTCCGTCTTGGAGAAGTCAATGTCATGTGAGCCCACTGAATTGTAACAGTGATCTGCCACGGCAGAGGAGTTCGTCTTACCGTGTTTCAAGTCTGCTTTATGTTCGCGGATGCGATCCGAGATATGTCTTTTGGTTTCTCCAATGTAGCTACTACCACAGAGGCACTGACATATCTCGGATCGCATCCGCGAACATAAAGCAGACTTGAAACACGGTAAGACGAACTCCTCTGCCGTGGCAGATCACTGTTACAATTCAGTGGGCTCACATGACATTGACTTCTCCAAGACGGAGGTTCTTTGCAAACCAACTGGCTACCATGAGAGATTCGTTCATGAGGCCATTCACATATACAAGCACAGAGACAATTTCAACCGAGAAGATGGATTCAGGCTCAGTAACCACTGGAAAGATGTGTTAAATCATTTCTGTTCTTAATTAATTGTAATTTTACGATGACCTTCAGACCGCAGCTCTTTCGCCAGCATTGCCTCTTAATACCTCTCACACCACGGTTAATGGTATGGTTTACAACATGGAGTATACTAGGGCTTCGCAGCTGTCTCTCTCCCCCTCCTCTGTTCCGACCATGGACGAACTCGTCCGTCTGAACGGGGCCCGTAGCTATCCGTGGTACGGAAATTTGAGGGTAAGAATCCACCCATTTTTTCGCCATATAGCATTGTGATATATAACGACTTATGGTTGGTAGCTTAGCTGATTGGAGAATATAGAGTTTATTGATAACATGAAGGTAATTTATATTTAGTTTTTATTGGTTCACTATATAGTACTGTGAATAGCTCAGATTTGTAGTCATTTCTGTGACCAGTCACTAGCAAATCACCCAGTTATTTCAATGCTAAATTCGCCTAGTTATTTCAATGCTAAATTCTCCTGTTTTGATTTGTACTAAGTGCCTCGGTGAATGTGTATGCTCTGACTTCAACGTAACTATTTCTGTAGCAGTTACAAGCGAATGCCTTAATTTAGCTATTTCAATGCTAAATTCTATGCTAATTCCTTTTAACAATGGGTGCCTCTGCGGATGTGTATGCTTTAACTTTTAACATAGCTATTTCTGTGACCAGTCACAAGCTAATCATTCAGCCTTTTCAATGCTAAATTTTATGCTAATTCCTTCGTCAAGGCTCTTTGTTCCTCTCACACAGCTTAAAAGCCGTGATCTGAACGTGGCTCTCTCACTCCAGCGCTGTCCTACCAGACAGTCTCGCTCCCTTCACCTGATGAAGGCCGCTTGTGTTGTGGCCGAAACGTCGTGAGAATATTATTGTGTTATTTTATTTTATCAATTTATTATTTTATTCTCATTCTACGTGACTTTACCGAAAGAACCAAAGAAGATGAATCATTGCAGTCACGAAAGCTTTAAATCGAAATTTAATGTGGTTGTAGTTGTGGTAATAAAGGCTGTGGTTATATTTTGGCTTCGGTTGTGGATGTGAAATAGGTCTATAGCTGTTGCTAATATTCATACACGCAGTGTCGATGACATTAACATCAATGTTGTTTTTGACGAGCCATATTGAGAATGATGTTTATATATTACTAGCGGGAAGTACCCGGCGTTGCCTGGGCGAAAAAGACAAACACACATCGACCCACACACATAAACAAATTGACTTACACACAACAACCGCCATTCGCCACGAAGTGGTGGTGACGTCCCCATGACGCTTGTGCCAGGCTATCTGCACCTTGAGGCCACGTGAAGTGTCGAACGCCCACTGGCAGGAGGTCATGGGGCAGACCCAGGTGCCACGGGTCGACTGATTGAGACGAGTGGCTGATGCACCACCTGTGCCCCCTACTGTGCCAACTTGCTGTGCTTTAGCCACCCGCCGCTCCGCTCGTTGTTCTGAGCGTCGCTCCTCCGCCCTCCGTTGTTGTTGGAGGGCGACTGACTCCAACTGCCCAGTAGCATCCTTCACGAGCCTCCTCCACAGAGGACGATCTTGACACCGCTGATGCCAGTCATCGGCAAGTCCACTCAGCTCCACATCCTCCTGTACCACATCACTCCATCTCTTCTATAGCCCGTACCGCACCCATTTAGCCCCCTCGATCCGGCCGAACAAAAGCTGTTTAGGCATGCCATGGCTGGACATGCGGGCTACATGACCCAGCCAACGCAGCGTTGCCTGCCGGAGGAGCTCACCGATGGGACTTTGTCCACATCTTTCAATGATTTGTGAGCTCCTAACACAATCCAGCCTTGTTAAACCCAGGATGGATTGTAGGCAGGCCAGCCTAAATGTTTCTAACCAGTGAAAATGTTCCATTAGGGGGGTTCACGCTTCGCAAGCGTAGAGAAGGGAGCGAATGCCTGTTGCTGAGAAGACCTGAAGCTTAGTGCGGAGCGATAGACCAGGTAGCTTCCACACAGCGTTACGCAACTGATTAAAAGGTAATGCCCCTCGACTCATTCGGAGTGAGACCTCTGCTGTTAAACTGGAGTCATGAGCACACTGCCAAGGTATGGGAAACTCTCCACTCTCTCCACAACTGCCCTATCACCAATTGGGAATTGTGGGGGTGGAGTGTCCGATGGTACAACATACCCAGGCAGGTGCTTAGTTTTGGTGGTGCTGATGGGTAAGGTCCCACCTCTTGGTGGCAATCTCCAGGTTCAGCAGCAGCACTTCCAACTCTTCCTCTGAGTGAGCAGCAATTACCAGATCATCGTCATACATAACGTGATTTAGCAAATGGGATACATCCCTTGACCACACCCGGGCATCGATCAGCCTCCCATTGTATCTGTACTAGGTGGAAATTCCTCCGTTACAGCTATTGAAGGCTTCACGAACTACGCAGTCAAAAATAGATGTTAAATAATGTGGGAGCCAGAGGCCATCCCTGTTGCACCCCAACGTGTACAGGAAATGGCTCTGATTCCCGGCTACGTAGTTTTACCCTGGCCCACTCATCATCATGAAGGTCCATAATGATCATGAGCAAAGGGTCAGAGACTCCGAAAGCACGAAGAACAACCCAGAGGGCAGGCCTACTGATGGTATCATAGGCCTTGACCAGGTCAATAAAGCAGAGATGTAAGTCTTGTTGGAATTCCCTCCACCTCTGCTGTAGCAGATGGACAGAAAATATGGCATCTGTGCAGGACCGCCCTTTACTGAA